CACAAAAGATTGGGACAGTCTTTGATAAAGAACTGTTAGACCAATACAGCACGATGCTTGGAATGAGTACCACTTGAGCGAAACTGTATTGCCTATATAAGGGCCAGAATGTTACGAAAAGTAAACCACTCAATTTAGAGTAACTCTAAATTAAGCTCACGTAACAAAAGAAATATTGGCGACATCTCGGGAACCATCGGCTAAACAGTTCTTTTCAATCCAAGTAAGACACAACAAAATGTGGACTGTAAGAGCCGTAATATCACACAATACGGAATTAATAGGGGTGAGAGAACCATGTTAAGGTTGATTCAATGCGAACGTCACAAAGTCTCTCATTGGAGGATTATACCAGCAACTCGCAGATTCCAAAACTCAGAAAGACAGAATAATCCAGTTGGTTCAGTCAGATACTCCTATCTGAAGACTTCAACACACACAGTCCCCAGGTTTCAAGCAAATTACAAAGACTGGTTTTATAAACGATTTATCACATCCATCAAAAGTTACAGACCGACTAAACAAGTAAACGACAACCCAAGATGTGGTGAGGACGGAAATCATTCAAAATGTGACGACCTTCTAACAAATCGTTTGCTTGTAACCGAAGATGTCCATTTCAAAGCACCAATAGAGAATAGTGCTCATAGAAAACCGCATTCTAAAGTGGTTACAAATTATTTACTTCAGTGAGACAAGAATCTTCCTCACATTTGGTTCACTAAAGTGAAGCGCATAATCATGAGAGGCATCCTGAACACGCCTCAAAGTCAGGGGAGTGGTGTGTCAGAACAGTGCATGACCACCTCAAAATAGTGAAAGACATTATTAAAAAGGATAACGTACATAACGTAACACGAGAAAAATTGCACCTGAAACGAGATCGTGGCTAAAGCGAATCAGAGAAAAGAAGAAAATGTAATCAATGATTTCAAAACAACAGAGTGTATGGTAGGTAGCAATAACGGTCATATCTACGTTCACGCAGTCAATGAGCTTGCCATACTATGGCGTGATTTTTATTAAAAAACTGTATTATCCTGTGAATTTTGCTGTAACTGTGATTTTTATTCACCGTGTTGGACTGCCGCATACCGGACACGTGTACTGTATGCTAGAATGATATCCTAAGTTGTAAGAAGCTTAATAATAGTCATGGTTATTTTGAACCAGACCGTCCACGAATAATGGAGAAAGGTTTGAGGCCAAGTTTAGTTCTGATGTCTGTGCTGTAAACTATGTTTTGATGCCTAAATGACCATAGTCTTCTGTCTCGAAACCATACTGTCTGTCTTTTCAGGAATATCTTACTGGCTTATAGTTTGCCTTTTGGGTTTATAGGCCTTATTATCTATGGTTAGCTATTTAAAGTAACATGTCTTTTCAAATGAGAAAATTATTACGACACCTCTTCATTTTAGCATACTTGATTGTCGTACAATTCAGCTTCCGTTTATGCCCAAAACCACAGACATACACAGCATACTGATAGTGGATTCCCGGCTTTTCACCGTCCAACTTGCTTTCGGATGCAACGTAATGCGTCCAGATGATCTGGTAATGTCATATTCTTGGTAATGAAAGTGCAATAGATCATTCGTACCTCCGACTTGGTCCCAGGCTCTCAGGTTCTTGGGTCTAATAATCCTTTTGAATATATTACTAGTATGCACAACAACTGGACATTCATTGTCATTTCAACTCGTTGGTCGTAGTAGCTTATTCTGGTGTTAGTATGAATTGATGATTCCTATGTACTATATGTCTGTTTGATTTTGAATTGCAACTATAATACTGTCGTTTGTGCTCATCTAGTTCTGTTTGGTCTAAATTGCGTTACTTTGGGGATTCCCAATTTGCATAATAATTCAATTACTTCTAATCAAAACATTGGTGTCGCGATGAAGCCTGTGATAAAACAGTTTTACATTTAAATTTTGATGCTTTTGAGGATTATGTGGAAAGGTTCGAAATCTGAACTATGACCAAGGGAGATGTGGAGGATTTTAATATTGTGGCTTGTTTCCTTACATTCATCGGAAAGGATGCTTGCAGCTTACTAAAACTTTTGGCACTCCCAGAAAAGTCAACTTCACTTTCCTACACAACTCTCGAGGAACTACTACTGGAACATTTTAAGTGCGAAAATTTCGAATGTTGTCAAGGAGGAAAAGTTCATAAAATCATTCATCAGAACATCGAAAATTCCACTACATTACCACGTCATCACAATCCAATGAGTACTCACGGTTATGCAGATAATAATTCACTGAGTTGCGATGCAGGTCACGTAGGTGAGCACAAGTTTAGTAAATGTTTGTCTTTTAGCAAATTTCGCTCATGAAATTTATGTGCATTTCGCAATGTTAAGTGTTTAAAATGTGGTAAGATTGGACACACTCAGTCAGTTTATAATACTTCGATTCATTTCACTGCAAGTAATGCTAAACTTTGTAATTCCAATCCTGTTAAGTTGAATGTTTCAATATAATGATACTCTGATCAGATCCATGATATTATTTTACGAGCTATGCGTTATTCCTATGATTCATGTATTTCTAATGAAATTATTTGCAAATATATGGAAGACATATCGAGTACACCAAATCCTGATCAGAACTCTAACGTTAATTTATCAGATGTGGTTTGCCCTGATGATCTATTTGTTTTCAGTGAAATATAATTAAATGTTGGGAACAAGTTCTAAATGGGTTAAAATCTGATCACAGTACTTATGGTTATTTATCCTCACAATGGATTTATCTCTAGTAATATTCCTAATGAATGTGACAAATATGCTCCGAATGAATTTAATTCTAGTTACGTTTCTAATGCTATGGATATTCTCACAACCAATGTGTGTCGAACAGAATCCCTGGTAAGTGGTACGATGAATTAGAGGGAATAGCAGATTTTCCCGAAGCAGTCATAGAACGAGTTTGCCGAGATATGAAGTTTGCACAGGCAGAAAATTCAAGTCGAGTCTAAGATAATCCTAATGAGTTTGAGGTCAATGCAAGTCAAAGTCACATGATGAAGTACCTCCTATTATACATCAGTGTGTATCTTCAAATACACACATATAATAGTCGAATTGTGGGATATAAGAAGATAATTCAGATTGTGGATGTCAAGTGGTTCATGACACTGAGACATAAGGACCCAACATTATTTCGTGGGGAGGCTAGTGTTGGAAAACCTATGGTTTAAATTCTAGATATCGGTGTTTTCATCAAATTGAAGTGACTCACTTTTATCACGAAAACATGACTGGTTTAATGAGAACAGTTATTATTATAACCAACTGTACCAGTGTTTGTTTTAATGTGCTTTTGTTTGACTGTGCTAATGACAGCTATTTGGTGCTTCCATTCTTTTACTTACACTTTGATTGTAACTTCGCGCGAATTCGGTTACGTTCTGTAACCAAGGTTGTATCCTGGCACGATCTCTGTATCCTTTCAATACCACGAGATCGCCAGCGAATATATCTCGATTTGGTCCAATAACTGCCTTCTGATATTTGGCTTCCCGGGGATTTTATGGATATCCTGGCACGCGATCCTTGGTAGCGGTGTTCATAGTCCACATCGACTCGACTCCACGCTACGACATAAAGGATATGTTGATCATACACAATCCCAGGAACCAAGTGAGTTCGTTCCAATGTCAGTTGTTAATTCTAATAATAATGAGTATATTCTAGATGATACAGTGCACAGTGTAACAGACATAAGATGAACCTAAGGAGAAAACATTAAATTGATTACAGTGACCATGATTTTAAACTGTGACGGCTGTAGTGTTTATACGAACTGGTGATCCTATTTACTATAGGTCTGTAGTGACTCACGTTTATCACGAGAACACGACTGGTTTAATAAAAACAATTATTATTATAACCAACTGTACCAGTGTTTGTTTTAATGTGCTTTTGTTTGACTGTGCTAATGACAGCTATTTGGTGCTTCCATTCTTTTACTTACACTTTGATTGTAACTTCGCGCGAATTCGGTTACGTTCTGTAACCAAGGTTGTATCCTGGCACGATCTCGGTATCCTTTCGATGCCACGAGATCGCCAGCAAATAAACATCGACTTGGTCCATTAATTGCCTTCTGATATTTGGCTTCTCGGGGATTTTATGGATCTATTTAGTTACGTCCAATCCTCGACTTCTGATTCATTTGGCACGTGTTTCTTTGTAGCGGTGTTCATAGTTAACTTCAACTCGACGCCACGCTACAGGTCTGTCTGATTTTGAATTACAAATAAAACACTGTCATTTGTGCTCATATAGTTCTGTTTGGTCTAAATTGTTATTTTGGGGATTCACATTTCGCATAATAACTCAAAAATATTTAATCATTACAGTTACATATAATAATAAGCAAAATAAAAGATTAAAGTACGTTTTCTCTCATGATCATCGGTAAAATCATAAATAACACTTAGAAACAAATATACTGAAAGTTAGAAAATCCCAGGTGGCAGCAACATTGAATTTAGCAAAATAGGCTGACGCTAGTGTATGATATCTACAAAAGGTACTCAAGTCAAAATGGTTTGACATTTTGCCACATAAAGCACGTAAGTATGTCAGGAAGCATACACCGACCTGAGTAGCAGTAGAAAAGGCCGGGAAAACAAAACGGGTTGAAAAACATTGGCGTCAACATTTAGAGGATCACATAAAATACGGAATTTCGGCACACTAAAGGGCTTAATGTTGCATTGACACCAAAACGTCAGCGAAGAAAACAGTGTAATGGGCAACTCAATCAATTGTCTGAAATTGCCGTTGGTGTAAGTCTCCCGATGAGATGCGTATATATTCTCAGCTCAATTAGTTTCTAACTAACTGCAACTGCCCAATTAAATGTACTGATCGAACCAATCAGTTAACCAATAATTTCAAACCAAAGGTCGTTTCTATCTTACAGTGTTGCTAATGTAACAATAGGACGAGGCAAGCTAACCGCCATTACTTACAAAGATGGCGGGAATGGTGGTTCCCGCTTCATCCTGATTGGTCGCTAAGTTGACTACCGAAATTGCGAACCGGAGTTGAGTTTATTTCTAGCCGTTTAGAATAAAAAGCAATGAATAGACGTGCTGACAACATCGATCATTGTTGTTCTGGGTGGGATTACAAAGGTCAGTAGCGTTTCATTTAGCACTAACTTATTCCACCTCCAATCTTAATGTAAAATTTATCTACGCACTCAATTGACTTAAATCATAAGCGGATTTACCATGATCCCAAAATTGAAATTACTGTCACATATTAACCAAATTGACAGTGGAAATGTTTGTGTATTATCGACGAAAGGTCCGGAAGTGTAACTCGTCAGACCTTTATTGTCTGAGAAAGCCTCAGAAACGAACGATTTATTTCCAATTAATCCACTAGATCCTTATGTCGTAGTGTATTCCAGCCCATAACCATATTTGTAACCTTTGTGGTCGTAACTCGTTTTACGCCACTCAGATCCAGAACATGGTTTTTGCGGCCATATTCTACATTTAGTGATCACCGCCTTTCATTACTAAGTTTACTTCTTTACGATATCCGTAGGAGACATCGTAATACTGGTCTGCGTTGAATGATGTAATTAACTAAAAGCTTCTTTATTTCTCCGCTCATTAGTATTACGGGATGTTTGTATGTATTTGTACATATGTGAGTAGGAATAAAAGCGAGGTCGGTTCCGATTGGTCAGTTACGTAAGCCATATTTGACCGTGATGTAAGTATACCTTAGCAAATACCAAAATGAAACCATGTTAAACACCAAGTAAGGTGTACTTTATGACGTGTAGGGAGATTTGGTCGACGATTATTGCTCCCTAAAAGGTTTCAATGGCACGTACTAGTTCCTGACAAGTGAGTACCTCTAATCTAAACGTGGTTTTTGTCCTACCCATCAATAAAGTGCTATACGTTCTATTTAAATCTCTATATCATTAGTTTTTGATTATATCTCTCAGTCCCAAGGATATAATTAGCTTTGTCTACTGAAAAGATGGTATGAAAACACTGGTTACTTAAACCCCATGCTAAAATTTACATCTGCATATTAAAAGATTTTTATTCGGGGTAGTTCGTATCAAAACTGGCTACAAGATCGTATATGATTTCGTCGCATGAGTACTGCTCACGATAGACGTAAGGTGCTTGTTAGAAACGTCAAATCGGTTGATCGAAGACGACATGAAACGGCTCAAAATTAGTCCCTGTGGCAAAAACCCATTCATTTCTTATTTGTACTTGGTATCGTTCAATATTTTCCATTGTTAGACTTTGTCTGTACTTTTAAACCCATATTTTGTGTGTAGTTTTTCACTGTCATCAATAATATTCCCAATTAAAAAATTAGAATGTCAAAATCAGTGGTGAAACACCATACCAGTCAAAACAACCCTACCGACCCAATATATTGGATCAAAACAGCGGTTTCTAACTTTCAGTCACTCTTGTAGGTGAAATCCTATTTGGTTAGAACTTTAATATTTGTGCTTCAACACTTAGTAGTACTCATACTTTCCTGATTTATAAAGGGTTGACATTTATTTTGTCCATCTACTGCACATCATTCTTTCTGATGTGACCAGCTGTTGTGTAAAAAATCATAAAGAATGAAATTACTTTTTCCGTTTCTCACTTTCATATACCTACATGAAAATTTTGCTGACAATAGTATTTGCTAAGAAATGTTTTCTCGTCAAGCACTAAACTAAAAAATTTAAAGCATTACTTCAAAATTGCAAACGTTAATAGCTACTAAATTATGACTCATTACGGTTACACAATTTGTTGTTAATTTTGAAAGTTACTCCAAAGTATCATATAAATAGTCATGCATTTTCGACTTCATCATCGCTTGTGGTAGCGAAGATTTAACTTTTTATTGTTTATTTATCTTCTCGAATATTAGTGGCTAGGGCAAATGTCCTACAGTTTAATCTGTTCATTTTGCGTGTATGCTACTGATATCACCTTGCTGTCTAGGTTAAATCAGATAGAAAAGGGTTTGAACCTGCAACTTCTCTGTCGAAAGATTATTGTTTCAACTACTAGACCACCGTTAAGATTAAGTGTGCTCTAAGTTAGTAGAGGTTTGGATTTCATATCATTATTTAGTGAGTCACTAATTTATTCACTATATAGTACTGTAAAAAACACTTCTTTCGTAGCTTTTAACTGAATGTTGTGCTTCTGAAAGCACACTAAGTGTAGTGGTGTAAGTCGCAGAAATCCAATAAAGATTAGTTTGGGATGTAAGTATATAAAGTTTGACATGAAGTTCTTAAAAGACAATCAAATTAAGAAAATAAGATCCTTAAGTTCTAAGGAACAACCATGTTCTGTTTTTGTGCCTTTGCTCTTTAATTCCTATTATTCCGGAGATTCACCCTGGCGAATTCATAACTCCTAAGTTGACTCAAATGTAATGGGACAATAGCTATATTCTGCTGGCTACTACGCAATTTCAAAGAATAATGTAATAGTAACTCGACATTTGACTTGATCAGTAAATGCATAGGATTTTTCTTTAATACTGCTCTTGATGTCCATAACCTAGGCGATAGCTATTGGAAAGGCAAAAGGAAAGCAACTCTATCCTACAACTTCGGAGAATATATATTTTGAAAAAACAACCACTTCATATATAAATTTTCTCAGTGGTTATTGATTACTTTTAAACATTTTTTACTTAAAGGCAAATTTAAGTTCATGCTGAACAAATTCGAAAACCGAGTGAATGCGTAACAGGAATTATCAGAATACAATAGAATAACGCACTGAAATTATCAAATGTTAAACCAAACGATTATCATGTCAAATGCATTAATAGTATTGCTCTTTTCCGCTTCATATCAATAATCAGTTTTATTTGCAGCATAACATTGTGACTTATTTATCAAGTGCTATTTTATGTACTTCACTATATTTGAGTGTGAGCAGCAACAATATTACTTAGATATCCAAAAGGAAATCGGTATATTGAATTATAACCTGTAGACTAACGGTTAAAAGCCAGGTGCTCTAACCATTAAGCTACCACTTCATTATTCACACTATGCGTACATTTCACAGCAATGGACTGAAAAAATTAAGGTCATACCTGGTAACAAGTTGTCTGTCTTTCGAACTGTTAATGATCTATTCCCATTTACTTCAAGCTGTTAATTTACCAAACCTCTGCTATTTTTTATGTATAGGATCATAATGAGTCATATTAGGATTCGAACGTGCAGATTAAGTGTAGTAACAGTTGCTGCTACGCTGTTCACTGCCACGTTAATACTTCAACCAGTAATTATCATATATAATTATTCATCTGTAGCCAAGAATGTTCCTAAGTCAATTGATATAGCTTATGTAAACATGATCCCTGGAAATATCACATTAACTCGTGACTGGAGTTTTGATCCTACTTTTTCAAAAGAACAATACAATTTGTCAACATCTAATAACACACATCGGATATTCATAAATCCTGTCTTTTCTTCTGGTTCTGATGATTTGGAGTATCCAATGGTGATAGATATGCCAAAACTAGTTGGACATGTTCTTTCAAACTTGACTGTAACATATCGTCCAATAAATGACCCAAAATTTCCAATACTTATGAGTGAACATCAAAAGTGTAGAGACATTCTCTTAGAAACAGGAGAAGCTCCAGAACTAATAATTCTCATCAAATCTGCTCCATCAAATTTTTTACGCAGAGATGCAATACGCTTAACATGGGGTAATGATCTTTGTTGGGGTGGACGTCGTGTCATCCATCTTTTCCTTCTTGGTAATGTCCCATCTAATAATGAACGTTTAAAATACATATTAAAAAATGAATCCTATGCATATCATGATATAATTCAACAAGATTTTCTCGATCACTATTATAATAGTACATATAAAATTATGTTTGGCATTAATTGGGCAGTAAAATATTGTTCAAATGTCCCAATTATTATGTTTGTTGATGATGATTATTTTATCTATCCAAAAAATGTGGTTGCTTATATTGAAAGTTTAAGCACAGAGCTGCGTAAACTTTTGATCAGTGGTTATGTCTGGTATAATGCAGGACCAGTTCGTAAGAATATTGGTAGTCACGAAAAGTGGTTGGTTGATGATAAAGAATATGCTCCACGTTACTATCCTCCATATGTGGCAGGAGGTAATTTTTTTTTATCAATGGATTTGGCACGTGAATTAAATGTAGCTATGCGTTATACAAAATATCTTCGGTTTGATGATGTCTACCTGGGAATAATACTTAAAACGTTATTGCATGTACCAATGCATTTAAAGAAAGTTTACACATTCCACCCTGTAAATTTAAATTCACCTGAGATATATGGAATGATTTCTAGTCATGGTTTTGGCAAATCTGCTTCACAATTCTTCTTATGGGACCGCTTAAAATGCTCAACATTTTGTGTACAGTCTCTTGTTTAATTTACCATTTGCTTGTCTTCTTTTGTACTATTAGATAGATACTTATGTGGTGGACCAAACAGATATGAACGCGAAACGTATAAACAAAGCTATTAAAAATCAATAGTAACATTAATATATACAATTAATTGTGACAAATACAACAAAAATTAAGGACGTTACTTAAATTGCTTAAACGTTGCGTGTTCTGATTAGGTCCAGTAATGTAAATCCACAATTATAAATGCTTGATGACTCTGAGCAGGTTGGTGAACTCTCTAGCGATATAGTCCAACGTAGGATGTGATATATTCCGATTACAGTCTATAAATGTAGATAGTATTTGATTTAGACTTCCGTTAACTCAATCACAAATGAAAATAGAACGAGGAATGCGAGAGTAGTAATGTATTTGTTATCCGGCAAGAATATGTCACGCTATGTAGTAGCTCAACGGAAAGTGTGTTCAAGGTCATTGACTAAAACAACACGTACAGTCACTTAATGATGAATGTACATACAGTGAAAAATTGACAAAACAAATACAAATAGTATTAAAAACTATTTACAAAATAAGCTTGTCAGTCATATCTCCACATAGCTCCCCCCAGAGTGTCCGGAAGTAACACTGGTTACAATAACAACAATAAAAATTTTATACAAAAATAATATTTACAATAATAACCAATAAACAATGTGGAGATGCGTATGGCATGTACGTTAATAATATACAATGTGTTATTGCGTGAAAATAGCGGTGATATGGCATAGCATGACAAACAAAAGTAATGAGAATATCGTCATTTAAAATCATGGTTTGCTAACAATGATAATAATGTGCAGAACTGTTACTGAACCCCCCCCCAAAAAAAAAAAAATTGAACTGTTTATTTTTGTGTACAATAAATGGGTAATTAAATAGAGTTTATCGTTTATTATAGTAACAAAAATTATTTTTTTATAAATAAAAAAAATAAATGTGACAAAACGAATAATTGTGGAGAAATGTGATTATGTACACTATGAAAAAGAAAAAAAAATTTTTTGGTGGGTGAAATTAGTAGTGTGTGACATAGGTAGGTGTGTGCTTTGTTTTTGGGTGTTTTTTTAATCGACGAAATGGACATAACGCTTGGGTTTGTTTATAGGTCAACCGGAGCGTGTTAAACAAGAAGGCTTAGTATTAAGTTTTTTATCCTCCACTGGTTTTTCAGTCACCGGTGAGAGGGGTTGATTGTCAACAGCGTTGTCTTCTTTGACTTGAGTAGCTTCATAGAAAGCAGGTTTGATTCTGTCTATAGAAATAGTCTGCTTGTTTCCATCTCTGCTGATGATGAAGTATTTTTGTGTGCGTTTAATTACTTTATATGGACCTTCGTATGGTTGTTTCGATGGTTTTTTAACAGCATCAACTCGAACAAAGACAAACTTGCATGTTTCTAGATTTCTGTCAAGTTGTATTCGATTGTTATGTTCACGAGGCGGTATGGCTTTGATCTGTTGCATGGTCTGCAGCAGTTGGCTAGCAAAACGACTTGGTTCCGTTGGTGTTAAAGTGTTTGGGTCCACTATTTGGCCTGGTAATGTAAGGGTTGTACCATAAACTAGCTCAGCGGCTGTACAACCTATATCTTTTTTTATAGTTGAACGGATACCCAGGAGTACAAGTGGTAATGCGTCACTCCATTTTGGGAATGAGAATGTGGGTGAAGGAGTTTGACGGAGGCAGTGGCCCAACTAAGTCCAAATGAATATGTTGAAAACGTTTGTCGGGAATAGGGAATTCCCCGATCGGGCTGATAGTGTGTTTTTGAATTTTGCTGCGTTGGTACTGGAGGCAGTTACGTGTCCAACGTTTAACATCCGAATTGATTTTTGGCCAAACAAAGCGTTCTGTGATAAGCTTCGTGGTAGCTCTGATGCCTGGATGCGACAGTCCATGTAGCTGTTGAAATAATTTTCGTCGATTGGGTTGTGGCACAAAGGGGCGATTGTTACCCGTTGAAGTATCGCAAATAATAGATGCATCTGAGAAAGGAATGGGTACAGATTTAAGATTCAAGTTAGACTTCTCGTTGCAGATCTTCAAATCTACATCGTCCACTTGTAGTTTAGCTAAAGCTTCAAGACTGATGTTGCGGTCGTGTACCATCATGTTGATATCCTTTCTAGATAGAGCGCCAGCAACAATGTTGGAGGAGCCTTTGATGAACTGGATGTCCGTAGTGAATTGAGAAATGTAATCCAGTCGTCTCGCTTCCCGTGGAGAATGTTTGTCGTAGGTCGTATTGAAAGAATAGCAAAGTGGTTTATGATCAGTCATAATGGTGAAATCGCGTCCCTGAAGGAGGAAGTTGAAGTGTTTTACAGCTAAGTACATAGCCAGAAGTTCGCGTCCGAAGGTGCTATAACGCTCTTGAGTTGATGCTAATCGTTTGGAAAAGAACGCTATAGAAGTAATCTTGTCGTTAACGCATTGCTGTAATACTTTTCCAACTGCTTTTTGGGAGGCATCAATGCAGAGGATGAGGTTTGTTGTGGGATCGGTGTTTAGGTACTGTAGCATGGTAGCATTAGATATCATCAACTTTGCTTTCTCGAATGCTGTTTTGGCGTCAGGGGGTAGGTTGAATGTCTGACTCTTCTCTTTCTTCGTACTTTTTTGTCGGCTTTCAGCAGATCGGTTAATGGCTGTAATACTTCAGCACAATGTAGTAAGAAACGGCGATAAAAATTACACATACCGAGGAAGCGTCGTAATGACTTCACCGAGGTTGGTTCGGGGTAGTTAGTAATATCTTCAACTTTCGTCTCAAGTGGTTTGATCCCTTGTGAGTCGACGTAATGTCCCAAAAACTCTAAAGCTGGGACTGCGAATATGCATTTCGAAGGGTTGATGACGACGCCATGTTTTTTAAAACGATCAAAAAGGATCTGGACATGTTGGATATGCTCTTCTAAAGATGAGCTTGCAATCAGAACATCGTCGATGTAGGCAAACACGAAATCAAGGCCTCTTGTTACGTTATCCATGAAGCGTCGGAATGTCTGCGCAGCGTTTATCAGTCCAAATGGCATCCTTAGAAACTCAAACAAACCAAAAGGTGTTATTATGGCTGTTTTCTCGATGTCTTCTGGTGCCATCGGAATTTGATGGTATGCGCACACGAGGTCAAGTTTCGAGGAGATGCATTTACCATGTAAATTTAACGAGAAGTCATGTATATGAGGGATAGGGTACCTATCAGGGATGGTTTGATTATTCAGACGGCGATAGTCACCACACGGACGCCAATCTTGGTCTTTCTTTGGTACCATGTGTAACGGCAAGGCCCAAGGGCTGTTGGATGGTCTGATAATACCAAGTTGCATCATATGTTCGAATTCTCTTTTAGCTACTTGCAACTTGCTTGGTGGTAGTCTCCTCGCCCTGGCGCTAATAGGGGGACCGGTGGTAATGATATGGTGTTGTACCTGATGTGGGTTACATTCCTTTTGATAATCTGATTTTGTGATGCACTCGTATTCTGACAGGATGTCGTTGAAAACGTTGTTCACAGGCTTCATTATTCGTACACCATGGATTTCACAGTCGTTGGAAGGTGTACCATCTACCTGTAAACGTGTATTTGCATCGATCAATCTCTTCTTAGTCATATCTACTAACAAGTTGTACGCACTAAGGAAATCGGCTCCGAGGATGGGTCGTTTGACATGAGCAACTATGAAAACCCATGTAAATCTTCTGCGGAGTCCGAGATCTAATATAAGTGATTGCTCACCGTACGTTTTGATAATTGATTCATTAGCCGCTACTAAGGACAGTTTAGTGCTTGTCGTATTTTGTCGGCGTGAGAGATGGAGTAGGATGATGCTGATTTCTGCTCCAGTATCGACTAAAAAGTCTGAGCCAGAAATACGATCCCTGATGTGGAAGAGGCGGCTAACATGTTGGCCAGTGACAGCTGCCGCCATTACTGTCTGGCCACTTCGTTTTCCTGATGATCTGGCTTGTTTGTCGTGAAGTTGCACGGTTTTGTGCAACGACGCGCTTTCTCACCATAATTCGAATGATACCAACAAATTCCGGCTGCCCGCTTAGGTGACCTAAGACGATGTCTGGATACTGATCTCCTTCTGGACGTAGATCTGGGGCGTCGAGAATGGATGGTGGAAATAGTCGTCTGCAGTGATGCCAGCTGCTGTGTTAAGTGTTCCATTTGTTGCTGAATGTCAAGAGGAGGGTTCATAGCGTCTCGCCTAGAGGGTTGTACCACGTTAATTCCCCAGACTATCGGGATATATTTCCATCATCTTATCAGCCATATCATCTAAATCGTCAAGAGTGACAGAAGTTCCTGAAATACTGAGAATTTGTCTAACATTATGTGGTAACCTTTGTAACCACATTTGCTTAAGCAGCGTCTCGTCTAATTTGTAGGGGCCGGCGAGCTGTCGCATGTGTCGGAGTAACTGTGAAGGTCTCTTATCCCCTAGCTCACACGAGGTAAGCAGTTGTTGTAAACGTTTTTCGTCTGACAGTGATGTGCGTTGGATTACTGCAGCTTTTATCTTGTCATAAGGGTCAGTTTCTGGTACGTTGTCAATAAGGTCACCAACTTCCGTTGCTATTTCTATAGGTAGTGCACCGATGACGTGGGTATATTTATTCGCCTGCGAACGTATACCCCTCGCCAAAAATAGTGCCTCAACTTGAGCAAATAGAACTCTAGGGTTGTTGACACCAAATGTTGGTGATCTTAGTTCAGAAATAGCGTTGATTGAGTTTAAAACATTATCTTCTGGCTGTGATGAATGAAAGGGGTTGGTTGATGGGCTTTCTATATCGATACGTTTATTAGGAGAGTTCATAATGCCAAAAACAAAAATGATGTGTCGTGCCAATTAATAATAATAAAATATTATGTAGATATATAAAGTAAATAACTATAAAAAAATATTCGAGGCTCACCAAATAATTGTGGTGGACCAAACAGATATAAACGCGAAACGGCGAGACTCTAATTTAAGGACGACCTTTGAACGAATCTTAAGTGACCTTGACAATTATTAGCCAATCAGAAGAAAGTTAGTATAAAGTGAAAATATATTATATGAAAGTAATGAATTACAGTGGATATTCTTCTTTTACATGATTTAAAAACTTGTTAAAGTTTGATTAAGGTTCAGAAGTTCTGAATTCACAATGCATATGGAAAAGAAACTCGTCTATTGGGTTAGAGTTAGGTTTACGGGTAAGGTTAGGGTTAGGGTTAATTGAGGGTTAAGGTTTAGGGTTAGGTGAGGGTTTAGAGTTAAGGTTAGAGTTTAGGGTTAGTTGAGGGTTTAGGGTCAAGGTTAGAGTTTAATGTTAGTTGAGGGTTTAGGGTTAAGGTTAGGGTTAGTTAGGGTTGGGGTTATGTGAGCGTTTAGGGTTAGGTGGGGGTTTAGGGTAAAGGTTAAGGTTTAGGGTTAGGTTTAGGCTTTAGGGTTTGGGTTAGGGTTAAGATGCTAACATACGAGATTTTAGGGTTAGGGTTAATGGTTAGGGTTGGGATTTAGGGTTTGGGTTAGGGTTAGGATGCTAACATACGAGTTTTTAAATCATGTCAAAGAAGAATATCCACTGTAATTTATTACTTTCTTTTAATTTATTTTTACTTTATGCTGTCTTCTGATTGACTAATAATTGAAATTACTCAAACGCTTCTGATTGGTTCGTCCCTAAATTAGAGTCTCACCCAAAAATTAAGGACGTTACTTAAATTGCTTAAACGTTGCGTGTTCTGATTAGGTCCAGTAATGTAAATCCACAATTATAAATGCTTGATGACTCTGAGCAGGTTGGTGAACTCTCTAGCGATATAGTCCAACGTAGGATGTGATATATTCCGATTACAGTCTATAAATGTAGATAGTATTTGATTTAGACTTCCGTTAACTCAATCACAAATGAAAATAGAACGAGGAATGCGAGAGTAGTAATGTATTTGTTATCCGGCAAGAATATGTCACGCTATGTAGTAGCTCAACGGAAAGTGTGTTCAAGGTCATTGACTAAAACAACACGTACAGTCACTTAATGATGAATGTACATACAGTGAAAAATTGACAAAACAAATACAAATAGTATTAAAAACTATTTACAAAATAAGCTTGTCAGTCATATCTCCACATAGCTCCCCCCAGAGTGTCCGGAAGTAACACTGGTTACAATAACAACAATAAAAATTTTATACAAAAATAATATTTACAATAATAACCAATAAACAATGTGGAGATGCGTATGGCATGTACGTTAATAATATACAATGTGTTATTGCGTGAAAATAGCGGTGATATGGCATAGCATGACAAACAAAAGTAATGAGAATATCGTCATTTAAAATCATGGTTTGCTAACAATGATAATAATGTGCAGAACTGTTACTGAACCCCCCCCAAAAAAAAGAAATTGAACTGTTTATTTTTGTGTACAATAAATGGGTAATTAAATAGAGTTTATCGTTTATTATAGTAACAAAAATTATTTTTTTATAAATAAAAAAAATAAATGTGACAAAACGAATAATTGTGGAGAAATGTGATTATGTACACTATGAAAAAGAAAAAAAAATTTTTTGGTGGGTGAAATTAGTAGTGTGTGACATAGGTAGGTGTGTGCTTTGTTTTTGGGTGTTTTTTTAATCGACGAAATGGACATAACGCTTGGGTTTGTTTATAGGTCAACCGGAGCGTGTTAAACAAGAAGGCTTAGTATTAAGTTTTTTATCCTCCACTGTAAATTTAAATTCATCTGAGATATATGAAATGATTTCTAGTCATGGTTTTGGCAAATCTGCTTCACAATTCTTCTTATGGGACCGCTTAAAATGCTCAACATTTTGTGTACAGTCTCTTGTTTAATTTAGCATTTGCTTGTCTTCTTTTGTACTATTAGATAGATACTTATCACGTTTCTCTTCCTTTTTTAAATCATTGTTTCTCGATCTTTTCAACTATTGATCAAGATAAAACTGGTAGACAATTTATAGAAAACGTCATTTTTGTTTGCCTTTTGTATTGTTGAGTATCACCCGTCCTAATAATTTGTATTCTAATTGTGCATACTTTTACAATTATGTGATATATATGAAACAAGAAATTTTCGTTCTGAATACTTACTCAGATATTCCCACTTATTGTTACAAATACTACTTTAAATAAAAATTTTGGTAGACTAATAAATATATTTAGTGATCAAACTAATCTATACTTAACCAGTCATGACTTTCTGTGTACGAACATATAAAATCTCATTTACTGTTGTGAAGTCTTGAGCTGTTTTATATAATCCCCATACCAAAAGACGATTCAATAAATAATCGATCAGACAACCACAACAACAGCCACAAAGTAGGACCAGGCATATATATGCATCGGTGCAAGTTGCAGCACCTCATTAGCACAACAAGATGAACACCGAATCCATAGAAGTAGTTACTTCACTGGTAGTAATATATGAAAGAAAGATTGTGTATAAGGATAAAGTACAGCAAGAAAAAACTAATTCGTAGAAAGAAAGATATAAAGTCATTTTAATCTCACAGTTTAAGAGAAAACGAAGAGTGTATACACCTACACCATTGTGATCGCTTCACCCATATCATACAGAGTCTCCAACCATTGGTTACTATAGCCGCGTGGACCCCAGCCAAGTAGTCTGGATCTACCAACATGGCTCATACCAGAAGTTAGTGACTTCAAGGACTGATGCCACGTTTTAGTCTAGCCACCCCTAACTCTCTTCCAACCATCCCCAACACTTGTCCGCATTGCGCGTCGTGGTAACTGGTGTCCACGCATACGCAACACGTAGCCTAACCATCTCAGTCGATGAAGATTTACAACCCCATCAACTGATTTACCATTATTCCCTAATACCCTGCGTCTAACCTCACTATTACTTACCTGGTAATCCCAGCAGATGCGAGCAATATTTCTAAGAGATCTGTGGTCAAATATTAGTAACTTACGAGTATCCTCTACTCTTAGTGGCCACATTTCTCAGTCGTAAATTAAACCAGAACGAACTGCTGCGCAGTATACTCGTCCTTTGATTGATGAACGGATATTTCGCCTTCTCCATAGGTGACGTAAGTTATTATCCATAAGTAATAGTTCTTTGGTTACAATTTTGTCCCAGCTTTATGAATGGTCTCGATAAAAAACCTTTATTTGATACAGTTATTGACACTGGGAAAGTGTACCATCGCAGCTCATAATCTTTTAAAATAGAAGAATTTACAAATGAAACTGAACTTGGCGGTTGAACTTCCCGAGCGCTTGTATTATGTAAATTATTTCTTAAAAGGTCAGTTACGCATGACTTGTTAAATAACTGTTTCATATTCCTAAATATTTCCTAAACATATCGTTCAGTATCAATATCTTTATAAATGCAAATATACACTCTGATTCCTAGGAGTAAAGCAGTACAGTGCCCGAGTAATGGATCTTAAACTGAAATAGATAAAAACGTCCTGAATGTCGTTTATTATTTCTTAAGATCTTATCCAAATTCTTTTATAAAAACTGGTTAATCTGTCGAGTAGTTTTATATGTAGATATACGAGTACTATCTAGTACTGAGCGCAATTGTTCTGATTTTCTTAAGTTTTTAGATTATTATAACTATTTGTTAATAAGTCCTAAATAGGTCCTATCTTTTTCTTCAAAATGCATGATAAACTATCCTTTATATCCAATCAAGTAATTCAATATGCAGAAACTTCACACTAAAACATCCGTAACTCCTTGTTACTAGTGAAACAAAATCGTTCTCTTTATATGAATTACTTTACCCGTAAATTTTTCAGACTCTGAAACAACCTACCACAATCTATCCATGCGATCAAATCACTCCCATTGTTTATCAGATGCACTGATTCATACTGCTCTTCTGGAAATGCATTAAATGTTTTAGCACCTGTAAGTTTGTCTTATACCACATTTGAGATTATAGGAACTTTGGCCATTATTATTAGTGAATTCACTAAACAAAACTACCTATCTGCCGTTACCTTACGTTAACACGAATCCTGGCAACTCGAACCTATTTTAATAATATCTAACTTTAACAGTATATCACTGTGTCACATGACACATGCATTATAGTAGACCTCATTTACATATTTTAGTAATTATCGCATTGTTGTTCTGTCCTCTCAGTTTTCGTTTTACTTTCTTTAGTTATAGATAATTATCATCAATTCGATCTGGCACAGTAAATGGCCTTAAATACACTGTTCATAAATCAACTGGCTGTCCACTTAAGAAAAATTAAAAGGTTCTGGCTGACACATTGGATTACTGTAAAACATGTACTACCTAAACAACTGCTGAACTGGTATACTCAAAACTATCTCATATCACATTTTTGTTCTCCACATCTAATGTTACTATTTATATCAAAATGACCAGGCCTGTAAACTGGCGTGAAGTCTGTAATTATTATCTTCAGAACTGGAAGGGATGGCTCAGGACAGAGTTGGATGGAGAATGCAGGTGCGCGGCCTATGCTCCTCCATGTGTGGTAACGTGTGCGCATAAATAAGTAAGTATAACGATGTATCCACCGGTGATTTGGTGAAGATGCATGACCAAGCAACTTCAGGTAGTTGAGTTCAGTAAAACTAATGCGGCCATCATCGAATTTCGAAGACTTACACAACTATTTTGGGGACTTAATTAAAGCTATAATTCTGACTTAGGCAAGCTTAAACTCTGTGTTTGAAAGCCTCGGCTGTCGTTTAGAATCGCGCCTGCAGGAAACTATTTCGTACAAAGTTTCAAACAGTAAATTCAATATGCCTACTGAAATGGCTTCTAATAAGTACCATAAATCTGATGAGATTCTGGTGTTATGACATTATCATCTGGAAGATTATGACGAAGACCAACTTCATAGGAGTGAACTTTAAGTCAATTGCCCGATAGAACTAGAGTCAGCCATGTCAGGTTTAACCCAATCAGCAAAATAAATAAAACTAGTAAAATTAAATCGCCAGGGAAGTGGTTTCGGTCAGTCACTTAGCAACAGCGGGAATGCAATACTAAATCATCTGTAGTTACTAAATAGGGAGATCTTGAGATCAGGCGGTAAACCAATAAATTACTGCAGTTTTATTAGAAACGGTGACAGTGAGAATATTGGATTTAGGACTAGACTGAATTACTTGACCCAATATTGTGACGGAGAAGCTAGAGTCGCTATCCTTCATTATAGTATGTTAGTACCGAAGATATGCTATTTCAAAGCACTAAAGCTTTTGGTAGGGCACGTTGTAGCACGCACATTTATTGACTATCTGTTATATTTTTCTAATATACAAAAGAACCAACCAGATGGCTTTAAAATATTGTCACGGGGAATGCAAGCATGCAGTTTGGCTCTAGAGAAGATGAATTACGTTTCTGATTTGAACTCCTCCAGAACTACTGAAATTAGCATTGCAGGCCCAACAAGAGCCACCAAAGGTAGCCTATTAGATTGTTAAAGGAGCTCGAGAGCATATGGTTGGCGAGCTTAATGAGTTTGTCATGGAAAAAGCTGATATTTCTAACACTAGATACGGCCGACTTGTTAGCCGAGATAACAGTATTGACAATAGAGATGTTGGTTTTGTGGAGGGGAAATATAGTACAGATTATGATACAGCAAAGATATCCTATGCATCTTCTAGTAATTACAATGTCCCCTTACATGATGGCTATGGTTGCTACAGTTCATTTTGTTTGGTGTACTCAGGGAATCATTCTTTAGATCAGTTTCAGGTGTTTAAAGTTAAGGATGTTAGAGAAAGGAAAGAATTTACTCTTAGGTACAAGTTATTTAACTTTTGCTTGAAGACGAACCATGCAGCAGAAAACCTTGGGTAGCCAAGACCATGTACATTCAAAGAATGTGGTTGGTGGCACCATACTCTGCTCCACATAAAGCGGGAGGAACGGATAAACACTACTGAAAACATCTATGTCAGTTATCATCAATGTAAGGAAACGGAAGATGATGATGGGCTCGATAGAGCTGAGATGCTCAAAAGTTACTGCTGAGAAGGAGTTGGGTTAGTTATAATTCCTGTACAACTAAAATATGCCGAGAAGGTCATCCCGACTTGCACTTTTATTGATAGTGGAGTGGACACTTCTCTCATTAGAGATCATCTAGCCAATAAGTCTCAATAGAAAACTTGAAATGGTGTCTTCAATGAATTTCAATAATAAATCGTCGTCAACGCAGAGTTGCATACGTTAGATTTTCTATCTACTGTTAAGATCAAGAACGTGTTGATGAGCGAAAAACTACCGCTGATGAACAGAATTGTACCAACAGCGTATCAGATAGTATCCTAATACCACATGAAGGAAATAAAATTTTTAGGAGCAGAAGAGTAGAGTATTGAGTTATCAATTGGCTGTAACGCACTACATGTACACGAGACAAAAGATATGAGGACTGGAAAAGTGAATGAGCCGTACGATGTAAGGGCTCTGTTGGGTCGGATGCTGTTTGGACCCTAGAAAAAACTCTGTAAAAGTAACTATGTACGTAATCATCTCTCAGCTAAGGAGGAATTGGGGGGCAATGTTGAACGACAAAAGGCAACTGATTTCTACCCGAGCTCTCAATTTTGGGGAAGCCGCTATAGTAAACTTTGGGGAAATGGCACAAAAACACCAAAATTTCCACAGAACTGGGGAAATCACCGAAATTCCCCTCTAACCTTGGTCAAGGTCATTTAGCTTTGGGGATTTCCCCAAAGTTCCCTAAAGATTGGTGAGGGTCATTTGGCTTCGGAAGTTTCCCCAAAACTTCCCAGAAATTGGAAGCTCGGGAAAGACTCACTAAGTCGTACCATATCGATATCCAACGGCACTCAATGCCATATCAAAGTCAGTACAAATGTGAGATGGGTATTTTCAAATATCCTTGTAATGGAAGCACAAACATGAGCTACCCAATAATGAAAAGGTAGACTGAGACTGAGAGATACTCGTGGATTGCCAAGCAGAATAGAGTTTTTTGTGTGGGCATATAAAAAAGCTGAAAGATTAAAATCAAAGTTTGTATCATTACCTGCCAGTATTCATTGTTCCTTTGATGCTTTCAAGCCTGAATATGGTGTTGTCACATATATCCGTTAAAAAAGTGTTTTATGGCCAAATCAATTGAACATTTCTGCCAACTAAGTCTAGGGTCGCTCACTTGAGACTTGCTATCATACCTAGAACAGAACTACCAGACGTAGTTCTGTGCTCTAAGATGTGGAAGTATGTACAAGAATACTTAATTATTTTCATTTCCCCAGTTATTTATTGGACGGATTCGTTAGTCGTGCTCTATAGCATAACACGACTAAGAGGCTTGTGGTTTATAGGTTAGTAACCCTAACTGAGTTATTTACACTGAACTAGTAAAGATAGGTGAAAGGTAACCTGACTTCTACGCATTACGCATCGCGTGGATTATCACCAAGTGCTAAGGCTAGAGCAGTGAATACAGGAGCTGGGATGCCTTTGGAAGGTAAATGGCTCAACTTAGAAGGAAGTGAGAACATTGTGGCTTACGTATCAGCAGAAGCGTTCGAATAACCAAAATGCAATGACGAGTTTTTAGATCGATTTCGATAAATCGAAAAGTGACATGAATAAACCAGTTTAAAGTAGCGTATTCATCTCTGAAAAGAGGACTTCAGACAATCCACCATTTAGAATCAAAGGTAATGTTTCTAGACAGCAAGAAAACCAGGGAACGATAAATAAAATTGTCAAGAGAAAAAAATTTATTCATCAAAGTTGACTTCTTCGTCAGCTTTACGAACGGGAAGTTTAGTTTGAAAGTGATTTGGATTTCTCGAAATTCTGCTGTGTCCTTAGGCTCTAGAGAATCTGCTTGAGCTTTACGTTCCGCAGATTACTTTTCTTTTTGAGTTTTACCCAACCTAATAGTTAACTGTGGTTTTGCTTCAGTTTACTATTCGGTTTTTCAGTTTTTCACATCAATGCTAGTTTCAGTTTATCCTTACCTTTTGCACTACCCGTTTTATCCATTTTTGTCAGTTTTTAGTGTACTACGTTTTGTTTTACAGTGGTAGATACAAAAAACCATAACGACATGACTAATCCCAGCTGTTCGTTCAGTAATGTACTAAAATGTGAGTCGTGTGACCACACACACCCAACTAAACCCAAATTTACCCTCCCAAAGATACCCCACAAGTAGACTTGAATGAACCTAAGTTCATCTCACAGAGACAACGAAAGACTCCAG